GTTCTGCCATAGCATTTCAGTCTTTTTTTATTTATGTTTTTTTATAATGTATTAAAATGTACTTGAGTATGTTTGTAGTAATACAAATATACTATAAACATACTTGTATTTCAAGTGCATTTTTAATACATTTAATAGTGTTTTGTTTTGTTTTTCACCAAAGTATATATGCTGCTGTCCTTTTTTAGTGTACTTTATGAATATTTGTAATGTACACAACAATATATACTACATTAAAGTTTTCTAGATATCAAAGTGTGTACGTGTGTGTATATACTGAAAAAAGCAGCTTTATAATATACTAGTAGTGTAATGCTAATGCATTTCCAATGAGCTGAAATACAATTGAAATGTACTTGAAGTACATTAAAACGATGCTTCAAATATACTCTTAACTGTAGTTCATGAAGTGTTAAAAGGACATTTTAAATGTATTTTAAGAAATACACTGAAGTTGCACTAAATATACTTAAAGTGGTTCCATTTTAACACAATTTCAATATATTAAATATATTACAAATAGATTAAAATCCAACTTAAACATATCTTGAAATACACTTAATATACTTAAAGTTGTTTCAAAATAATACATTTAATATGCACTTAGTATAGTATAATTTAAATATAGTAAGTATGTCTGAAAAAGCACAATTTAAATATATTTCTTTTTCACCTGGGTATGCATTTGGCAACTATATATTTTTTAATAAACCATTATATTTCATAATTAAAATCTATTTTCACACTCATCTTGGGTGAGGGGGCTGGATAGTCCGAGTGACGCCTCCTCACGCCCCCCCCCGTGGCGCCGGCCCTGGCTGGATTGGGGATTGGGTCAGAGGAGGCTGGTGTTTACATAACATAAACAGTGATACCTTATTATCTTTTAATGGCATTTATTCACTGCTGTAAATCAGAACAGTCAAATACATTTTGTATTAACTTTTCACTTTTCAGAAGTGAAAAACTGTAATAAATAAAAGAATCCAATCTGTGAATAGAGTGCAATTCACAAAAATAATAAAATTCAACATTAATGCTTTAATGCAGGGCCGAATTGATGAGCTGATGAATTGCAGTTGATGGTCATCAGAAGGCTGCTGACAGAGAGCGCACTGTCTGTCTGTCTGTCTGTCTGTGTGTGTGTGTGTGTGTGTGTGTGTGTTTATGACGGGAGAGCCTGGTGAATCCATGACACATATGTTGTTGCAAACGTGTGTGACTTTCTTTTTTCCATGTTACAAAAGAAGTTGTGAAGAAAGTTTTTGTTCATATATAATGAGTGTCAATGGTGATTAAAATATAGCTTGATTTGTTTTCCATTGCCTTTCATTACAGTGGACAAAAACATTTTCTCTTTTGTTTCATGCAGAAAGAAAATCATAAACATGAGGGACAGTAAATGATGACAAAATTTACATTTTTGGGTGAAATGACTGCCTTGAAGCATTAAACAGGGTTTTCCTGTGTCACAAAATGATCTTTTGTATTGTGAACAACTTTTCCCTCTGATTATAAGTTGAGGAGAGTGAATCGCCTGCTCAATTGTTCTCCAATGAGATGTGTGACATTCAGATGAAGCAGATCGAGCTGTGCAGATCAGAAACATATTTAGCAGAGGTGGGTACCAGAATCAAGAGTTAATTTATACAACAAACTATACTTAATTATTTATCCATCCATCCATCATAAAAAAGTAATCCACACGGCTCTGGGAGGCTAATTAAGGCCTCCTGAAGCGAAGCGTTTGTATAAGGAAAAAATATCCATATTTACAACTTTATAAACTTATTATGTGAGACAGTGACATTTTGTTTTTAAAAATATGAATTCAGTAGTGATTCACACACAAAAATCCAGGAAAGTGTTAGTCATGGAGGATATAATATATATAAAAAATTACAGTAAAGACATTTATAATGTTACAAAAGATTTCTATTTCAAATAAATGCTGTTCTTCTGAGCTTTCTTTTCATCAAAGAATCCTGTCGCAGTATAATGGTTTCTACACTTCATTAAGCAGTACAACCTTTTTCAACTATGATAATAATCAGAAATGTTTCTTGAGCAGCAAATCAGCATATTAGAATGATTTCTAAAGGATCATGTGACACTGAGAGTCGAGATCTGACATCACGGTAAAAAAAACAAAAAAAACAGTTATTTTAAACTGTAAAATTATTTCACAATATGAATGTTCTTGACTATTTTTTAATCATATAAATGCAGTAGGTGAACATGAACAAAGAACCGCACTAATACAAAACCTTAGAACAGTAATGTATCATAATATCAAAACAAGCACACTTATGAACATTTGTTAATAAAACTATTTTGTTAACATCAAATTAGTTGCTTATTCTATTCCACAAAATGCCATGAAGTATTTCTTTTCTCATTTACAGTGTACCAAATGTAATACACTTTTGTCCATACAACACAAAGAACTGAAATCAATGTATACAACTAGCTGAAGTTTGCTGTACTTTATCCTAACATTGCACAAAGCAATGCATTTGTATAAGAAAAATATCGATATTTATAAACCATAATCTCTAGCTTCTGCTAACTGTCCTACTCGTGTTCATGAGGGAGTGGCATCCAGTTACCGTTTATAAAGTTGCAAATATGGATATTTCTTCGCTTCAGGAGACCTTTATTAACCCTCCGGAGCCGTGTGGAGTACTTTTTATGATGGACAGATGCACTTTTTTGGGCTTCAAAATCTCGATCCCTATTCACTGCCATTATAAAGCTTAGAAGAGCCAGGACATTTTTTTTTACATAACTCCGGTTGGATTTGTCTGAAAGAAGAAAGTCATGTACACCTAGGATGGCTTGAGGGTGAGTAAATCATGGGGTAATTTTAATTTTCGGGTGAACTATCCCTTTAAGCGCAGTATGAAAAGCCCTGTGAAGGCCTTCAGAAACGGCCTCTGACAGTCGTGAACATGCAAACACAGACAAGCAGAGTGACATAAATAGTGAAAAGTCAAGGGCAGTGCTGTCAGATTGTTATATCAGCTCTCTTTACCAGAACCAAGTATTCAAGAGAGAAAGGTGATAAAAAAATTATGATGGACAGATGCACTTTTTTGGGCTTCAAAATCTCGATCCCTATTCACTGCCATTATAAAGCTTAGAAGAGCCAGGACATTTTTTTTTACATAACTCCGGTTGGATTTGTCTGAAAGAAGAAGAAAGTCATGTACACCTAGGATGGCTTGAGGGTGAGTAAATCATGGGGTAATTTTAATTTTCGGGTGAACTATCCCTTTAAGCGCAGTATGAAAAGCCCTGTGAAGGCCTTCAGAAACGGCCTCTGACAGTCGTGAACATGCAAACACAGACAAGCAGAGTGACATAAATAGTGAAAAGTCAAGGGCAGTGCTGTCAGATTGTTATATCAGCTCTCTTTACCAGAACCAAGTATTCAAGAGAGAAAGGTGATAAAAAAATTATTTGAGGTCTATTTGACAAATGAGGATTGGTTACTTTTCAGTTAAGAGATGCAGATTTCCGTGTTCACCACATCCTGTGACAAAGTCAGCATAAGATTGCCTCAGACCAGTCAGAATATATTTAGCCAATAGCCTTCGTCAACTAATTTATTTTCAGATCTGTATGAGAACCAGTCAACCACAGAGTTTCCTTTGAGAGGACAATGTCAATTGTGACCACTTTAAAAACGGAACACTGACTTTTTACCTTTTAATTTGGACTTTTTCTAGTCAGTGTGACTGTCAGTGTCATGTAAGATCTTTATTAACTGTAACTGCATTACTATACAGACAAGTTAGACTTCTATCACTGCCTTGCTAACACTTGTTTTAATCCTGTCCAAGCATCTAGTTTCTAGTTATGTTCTAATAGTGCTGGTAAACATGTGTGTATTTAACATTATTTTAAAGTTTATACCGTTTTAACAATAAAAATCATTTTAACATTTTGCATAATAAGCTAATAATTTTAAATTCAGCTTCACTGTAGAGCAGTGGTTCTCAACCCGCGGCCTGTCACGAATTCAAATGCGGCCCACCGTGCTGAACACAATTAAAAAAAAATACTTTCAGTTTTACAATTCATTTTAGTTTTTACATTAATTTAAAAATGTACTAAATAAATATAAGCTATAGCCTAATGTTTTTATGTAAAATAATTTTGTTTTTCATATATTATTTTCAGACATGAGCAGTACTCACATTGCCCAATTAACGTTACGCATTTAAAGTAACGACCAAGTGGCCAGCGGCAGAGAGTGAGCATATGCTTGATCAATTTAGCCTTCTCAAATAATCACGACTTGACTAAAATAAAATCTATAGATATAAAACAGTTCAAGCATATAACAATGTTTAAACGTTAAAACCTAGATAAATGTGCGCTGTATCCAATAGTTTGCGCAGAGAGTGGAAGCTGAAGCGCGCTTTGCAGGACACAGAGACGCCAGCGTGGTCATCTGCGCAATTCGGAAAAAGAGGCGGCTTTTTTGCATTAGGTATGTTTTTTTTTAGTTTTTTTTTTTTTTACTCTTTGTACAGCAGTTATTGTTCATATTAAATTTATTTTTTTAATGTAGAATATGTGTTACATAAATACATGAAATGTAGAACATATAAAAAAGTGCTCGTGACTCGTCTGCCAGTGGGTGCCCCCCCACACGCATAAAAGTGAAACTCCGCCTATGATTGTGCTGTTACTCCTTTCGAGCCGAAGTTCACAAAATTGGGTGTTATTTATGGGGAGTATAATTATTTATTTATTTCAATGAATGTAATCGATTAGATATCAAAATATTTACGCTATAATATTATAAATCAGGTTGGTTTGTATTGCTGACGTAATATGTAAATGATATGAGTGCGGCCCGCGAGACTTGCACTTGGAAAAAAAGGTTGAGAACCACTGCTGTAGAGAAAAGGTGCTGTCTGAAGTGTGTGGAGGGGGCGGGTTTAACAGTCAGCAGCGACTGTGTGCTGTTCTACTTTTCCAAGACCACAACGAGCTGCTTTCTGTCTCACTGTGCCGGAATGTTTTTTTTAAAGCGTGGAGTTCATCAAATTCACAAAATGTACAGAGGACTGCTATTTATAATTGGTATGTACTTATTTACTGTGTTGATGTTAATGTTTCTAATTAATGATAACAATTATTTGAGTTTGGGCATGTTTTAAACTCTTATTTATCTGAATCTGAAAATGTCTGGGCAGAAGTAGAAACAGTATTATTAAAACATAATTAATCTTATTACTTTGACCCTGTGAAATAAAAGTACGTGGTCTAAATAATTTTTTATGTTATAGTGATATGCAGTGTGAACGGGTTCAACATTCAAAAAACTCCCGTGAAGTATTTCACAAATGACGATCCACTCTTTGGTCAAACTGTTATTCAATCAACAGATGGGTTGGTCATTTATACGAGTTTTAGATAATTCTAGATATATATTTTTAATTAAATTACATTTATTTTATAACGTTTTTTAAGATCATCATAAAGAACATTTATTGATCTATTTTAGTCAAATTGTCTTAATTTGTTCTATTCTAGAGTTTTTGTTCCTTCACCAAAACATGGAAAACTTTTTAGATGCACAGAGCATGAATGCGTCGAAGTAAATTATGATGGTAAGTTTGTCTTTGTCTTTTCATAATGAAGATTTCCCTGCAAACTTTACTTTGTTCATTTCATAATAATGTCCTCACTGATTTACACAATTACTTTTTCACTCTAAAAGTCTTATTACATCAATATCTCTTTTGAAGATAAAAAGCCTAAAGGCCTGAGACCAGTAGCATCAGTATCTAGTCTGACATCAGAAGAGGAACAACATGTTATGGTATGTATAAAGATCCTTAAATACAGGGATGTTAGATATGGCCGACAATTGTTTTGTACTTAACCTGATTTCACTTACAAAAGGTTAAGCTATTGAAAGTTATACCAAACAAGAAGTAAACTGTTTATAATCAGATAGAGATTGCACAATGCTTTGAGTCTGTCGCATAGCATTTTCACAGTTCACAGAGTGTGGTTTCCCCTTCACATATGTGACAGACAGAAATGTATCAGTTCTCCTTCAGAGAACAGGAAACAGTCTTTAAATGTCAGGAAATGTCAAACTAGAAATGTGAAAAGGACTAGAAATGTCAAGATACCAAAGTTATTTCTGGGGGGGTTGTATTTGCTTTATTTATTGGGATATTGGATAATTGTTCAGGATGATGTGACTATCAGGAGAAAGTCATCAGCATTGTGAGTCAACTGTGATGTTACTCAAAACCATAGTGACAGCACTTCCCCAGTGAGAAAAAAAACAATGTATACTCTTAGTTAAACCTCAATCAGAGTGATTCTGTCTCTGTGAGTTCAAATCTGCCACAAATTCTCATTAAAATAGGACATTAAATAAAATAGAATGAAAATGACACAGAAATGAAAATGAAAGGGAATGACTTTTACTGAAAGACATGATGAAATATTTAGATTTGTGTATTTTTTCTTCTTCTAAGATGTGTAATCAAATTCGCGTAAAGGAGTCAGTAACTGAGGATTTGAACGGAGATTGCAAACTGATGAACCCCACTGGAAAAGTCATTAAAAAACTGAATCCTGTTGCATTAGGTAAGATTGGATGATTTTATAATAGTATTTCAGATTCAAACAGATAAAATCCTAACCCTTACTTTTCGAAATCTCTTTCATCTCAGTCAACAACAACAACAACAACAATTATTATCAAGGTCAATGGATTGGTCAAGGTGAGCCCACCTGAGAGAAAATGAAATAAACTGTTGTCTTTTTTTCACTCTTTTAAGGAATCTGTTTGCTAATTTACATTTCTATCAATATCTACAAGATCAACGGAGGATGAGAAGAGATGCCCAGTCAGACAGTGACACAAAAGACTATGATGGTACTTTGTTTAGACTTTAAAATAAATATTATAAATAAAAAATAACATTATACTTAATATGTCATGTTGATGGTGTTGTACAACAGAAGAAAAAAAACAGTCATTTCAAACCATAATTTCTGTGCATATTTTGTAGATTCTGGGACAGAGATTGCTTTTGTGCTGGACGGCTCTGGTAGCATTCAACCTGATGACTTTCAGAGAGCCAAAGACTTCATCTACAATGTCATGTTCAATGTTTGGAGAGCATGTTTCAATGCAAGTATAAACTAAAGCATTTTATGACACACGTTTATAGCCATTTTGTTTTTAATTACAATTTAAAACCCTCTGTCTTCAGTGTGACTTTGCGATAGTGCAGTATGGTGCAGAGATCAGGACAGAGCTCTCACTGCTAGACAGTAAGGATCATGCCAGAGCTTTGCTAAAGGTCAAAGATATACAGCAAATTTTCAAGATCACAAAGACCGCCTCAGCCATCCATCATGTCCTGTAAGTTCACAGAATATGATGTGAAATACTAGACATTTTACACCTTAAGTGTTTGATTGACATGCAGCTTTTTTGTTGGTGATACATTAATGTCATGATCTCAGTGGTTTCATTGGTTGTTTACAGCACAGATATTTTCATCCCTGAGAATGGATCAAAAAAGAACTCCAAAAAAACAATAATTGTATTGTCTGACGGGAAAATGTTGGGAGATCCAATGAATCTTACAGATGTTTTGAACATGCCACAAATGAAAGGTGTCACTCGCTATTCCATAGGAGTAAGGGTCCTGTTTACTGATTATTTCAGTAGCATTTTAGATAAAAAGGTACATGTTAGAATTACAATTGCACATTACTGTAATTTATTTTAATCTTGAAGACACTTCTAGGTTTGCCAGTCCTACTAAAACATTCATAGCAGCTATTTTAATCATAGTTTGTTACTGTATGGTTAATTGTATTAAATTAAATTAAATTTTATTAAATTTTATTATGGTTTATCAAAATAAATCATAAAACCCACACACTTGCACTAACATCATGTTATCTTTAGGTTGGTGAAGGCATTCTGAATGATACTGAAGCAATACAAGAGATGAAGGAAATAGCAGATCCTGAGAAGTTTTACAAGGTTTCCAATTATGCCGCATTAGATGACATTCAGTCCTCACTGCAACAAAGTTTAATTGGAGATGAAGGTAAGAAAGTTTTCATCAAACATTACGCTATATAACAGAGAAAAGCTATTATTTTCTGTTATACACTGAGAGGTCCCATTCTAAAATCTAATCGAAAAACTCGCAACACAATTACCATACTCTAGACAGGTTCAAAGGAGTGTGATATGGCTCTATATCATCATGGCTCATTCGGCTATAGACACAAGGCCACAGGTGATCAGAGCCATACTGCCATATCTTTTGTCTTTTGTGCAACTAGCTGCTTCAGTGAAGTTATTGTTATAGAAGATGAGCATGTGTATATAAGACAGAGAGATTGACTTCATTCCTCAAGTCAAATCATTCATAAGAAGAAACAGTTTGCCAGGTCCACTTACAAAAGCAATATCTTTGTCTTATTAGCTTTTATTATTCTCAGTGTTCCTCGCAATTGAATTTTTACTAGTAAGAATTGAATTTGAGAGGTCTTTTCATTTTATGAATCGCAGTCTTGAAATGTCACTCTTAAAAAAGCCACACACAAAAAAAGCCAAGGACTTTTTTTGACATTCTGACAACTTAATGTAAGATGTTGCTATGACTAGTGTTTAAGGACATTTCCTTGACGTAGTATTAGGGGCGCCGTGAGGGGGGTGGTGGTGTGTGCAGGTTAGGACGATTTCAAAGGCCCTGATCAGAGAGGGCATTGTAAGAAGCATTATAAAGAAAAATTTACATAAAATACATGGATTCAGTAAGGGATTGTTGTCAAGGTTGCATTGAATTGCATTGAATTATGAATGCAATCACAGAGGTGATGTTAGGTATAGATATGTTTATTTTATTTTTTTAAGTTAGGATTTAGCCTCTAAAGTTTTTAGCTATATATTTTCACACTGTTTAAGCAACCATGCAAGTCGCCGCTAATAGCTCGACATCAACACTACAGCAACAATTAATTGCTTGAACAATGAACAGTACAAATAAAACAAAGAGACAAAGATGAAGTAAGTTTAAAATACAGTAGTATTCCTTAATACAGAATGTACATCCTGTTTCTGCAGTTAACACTGCAGTGAATGATTGAGTGAAACATTTACACGTATTGTAACTACTGAAGTATTGAATGAAGATAACAAAGATTTGAAATTTTCTTCTGTCACAGTGAATGTGCCACTACCATCAAGATCTTCACAATTTCTGTCTGCTGTTACAAACCAAATGGACAATGAAAAACTTAACAGCAACAACAACAACAATCATTATCGAGGTGGAGGGATCGATGAAGGTTAGTTTGTTTATAGTTTAGTGTCATGCCAGCTACCATGATTATATTCATGGTGAGAGACAGGAGAAAATAGAAAAAGTTAAATAAACCATTCTTATCATAATAAAGATATAAACTACAAATTAAAGATGATTTATTAAAGTTTTTTTAAGTTTATCTTTGATAAAAATTCTAAAACTAAATCTTGCCTCACTTCATTAAAAACCTTTTCATAAGAATTGAAATGATAAGAGTAGTTAAATCCACACAGTCCATTAACATATGCTTCAGAGATATTGGAGCACATCTGGAATTGAAATGAACTGTTGCCTTAGTGTGACTCATTTAAGGAATCTGATTGATAATTTACATCTCTGTCAAGATCCACAAGTTAAACAGAGGATGAGAAGAGACACCCAGTTGGATGGTGACACAAGCGCATATGAGGATGAGGATGATGATGATGATGGTACTAATCTTTGTTCAGCGTTTGAAATAAATCAGCATTTATTATGTCATACTGACTGGTGTTGTACTACAGATGCATAGGCCAATGTCTTTAAAGAAACCATCATTTCTATACTGATGTTTCAGATCATCTTTTGTAGATTCTGGGACAGAGATTGCTTTTGTGCTGGACGGCTCTGGTAGCATTCAGCGTGATGACTTTCAGAGAGCCAAAGACTTCATCTACAATGTCATGTTCAATGTTTGGAACACATGTTTCGATGCAAGTATAAACTTAAGCATTTTAATGAGACACATTTACGGCCATTTTGTTTTTAAAAAAAAACAACTCTCTCTTCAGTGTAACTTTGCGATTGTGCAATATGGTCAAGAGATCAGGACAGAGCTCTCACTGCTAGACAATGAGAACAGTGCCAGAGCTTTGCTAAAGGTCAAAGATATACAGCAACTTCTCAAGATCACAAAGACCGCCTCAGCCATCCATCATGTCCTGTGAGTTTACAGATTATGATGTGAAATACTAGACATTTTACACCTTAAGTGTTTGATTGACATGCAGCACTTTTGTTGGTGATACATTAATGTCATGGTCTCACTGGTTTCATTGGTTGTTTACAGCACAGATATTTTCATCCCTGAGAATGGATCAAAAAGTAACTCCAGAAAAATAATAATTGTATTGTCTGATGGGAAAATTTTGGGAGATCCAATGAATCTTACAGATGTTTTGAACATGCCACAAATGAAAGGTGTCACTCGCTATTCAATAGGAGTAAGTGTCCTGTTTACTGATTATTTCAACAGCATTTTAGATAAAAATCTCATTTTAAAGTTTTTTTTAGAAAGTCATCATATGCTGGAGTTACATATACAGATTACTGTAACTTCTAGGTTTGACAGTCCTACTAAAACACTCATATCTGCTATATTACCCATAGTTTGTTACTGTATAGTTAATGATTTTTTTATGGTTTAACAAAATAAATCATAAAACCCAAACACTTGCACTAACATCATGTTATCTTTAGGTTGGTGGCGGCATTCTGAATGATACTGAAGCAATACAAGAGATGACACAAATAGCAGATCCTGAGAAGTTTTACAAGGTTTCCAATTATGCCGCATTAAATGACATTCTGTCATCACTGCAACAAAATTTAACAGGAATTGAAGGTAAGAATGTTTTCATCAAACATTACACTATGTAAATGAGAAAGGCAGTTTTAAAGTGCTAAAATCTGATTGGATGAGCTGATAAACAGCCATTGTAAAATTAAGCCTAGCTGATAATTAAGCCTTGCAGTGCATCCACACAAATTTCAGAGTGTTATTACTTTTATTTAACAGTTCAGTGAACAAAAAGTAAATATTGAGTATGCCATTTTAAATACAGTATTCCCAGTTATGTACCACCAGCAGACATTGTTCTAAACAAAAAAAAGTAGAATTAAGTGTTGTGTCTCCAATTAACACATGCATGTTTTTTTTGTGGATGAATCTATGTACTTGAAAGAATTGGTTTGAATGATTGGAAGTTGGAAGTGAATGATTCAGTAACTCCCCCATAAAAAGCTAATTGTTTAGTTCCCGAATGTTTTAATGAATCGTTTGAGTAAATGATCAATGACTAACCCGTGAAGACAAATTCACTTGTTGCCATCTACTCATTTATCAGTGTAACTTGCAGAAATGGTCACTGAAAAATCCCCACTACCAATGCATAAACTGATAGTCTGTCAGGAGTGTACAAGTGGATAATGAATATGCAGTATAATATTAATGTGAGTTTTACCGTGTGAAATGAGTTTCATGCTATTATCTAACCACTTTGTGTCTCAGATAATCAGCAAGGTGCAGGATTTCAGTTCCAGCTCGCTGAAGCTGGCTTCAGCTCCCATCTCATGCAGGACGTAAGTAGGATTTTTGGTTTCTGATACCTTTTATTTTAGAAACGAATCTTTGTATCAAACACTATTAAGAATGTGTGGATGTTTGCAACAACTTTTCCCAAGATGATTAATTGATATACTAATAACATTCATTTGTTTCTGTTTTGTGTGTGTGTGTGTTTGTGTGTGTGTGTGTGTGTGTGTGTGTGTGTGTGTGTGAGTGTGTGTGTGGAGATTTGTTGTTGCTGCTGAGCTGAATGCTGAGACTGTGTGAATTGTTCAGTGTAGTGTGTGTGTGTGTGTGTGTGTGTGTGTGTGAGTGTGTGTGTGTAGAATTCTGTACTTTTTGGAGCAGTTGGAGCCTTTGGCTGGAGTGGTGGAGTCATTTTGCAATCTGATAAAACCGTGAAATTCTTGAATGACTCTAACAATGGACCCAAATTTTCCTATTTAGGTGAGTGATGGTTGGAAACCAAAAAAGTAAGTCAAAGAAAATGGATTTTTAAAGGGGTTTTTGAGGAGGTTTCACATTTATTTGGGTGAGAATTTAAACATCATTAAAGGAAATGTTGTGAAAACCTGGATAAATGAAAGTCATCTCAGGTTCATGTTAGTTGACTCTCCTTCCTGATCACAGGTTACAGTGTCACTTCTGCTAAAGTAAAACCAAGTAAAACACTCTACATCTCTGGTGCACCACGGTATAACTTGACTGGTGGAGTATTTATTTTCAATGGCTCTGAAAAGTATGTGCTCCAGGGAGATCAGGTATTTGTAGTTAATACTATTACACACTATAACACACCAGACTGTTTGCTTTTTAAACGTTTTTTAAAGTTTAAAAGTCTTTAGGCACTCAATTTTTTTATTTGCACATCACAAATGTATGACCAATTTCCACCAAATTGAATAAAGTAATCTTTAAATGATATGCATTATATGAATTCATAATAAATGTGAAATAATAAATTAAATATGTTAAATACGTTAATTTAAACCATTTATTACATTAGAAAGGATTGTTTTTTTTTCTTCTTCTGATTGATTTGGAGCTCACAATCAAGCCCCAGTTTATGCATTTGCTAATATGATAATAATGAAGTAATGTATAATTGTCATAGGTTGGATCTTACTTTGGATCAGTTCTTTGTACCTTGGACATTGATAGAAATCAATACACAGATTATCTATTAGTTGGCGCTCCACATTTCCATCAAAATGGGGAAGAAGGCAAAGTGCTAGTGTACAGGTTGAATCAGGTAAGATCATACTCTCCTTTCAGCTCTTGGATTTATGTGGACAATGTTTTAACATGATTTGTGTCTCATGGGGTTATTTTTAAATCATGCCAAAGGAGGACAGGTTTGAGAGTGTGGCCATGGAGCTGCAGGGTGATGCAGGACAGACCTTTGCGAGGTTTGGCGCAGCCATTGCATCGATAGGAGATATTGATGGGAACAAGTTCACTGATGTAGCAGTGGGTGCTCCGCTGGAAATAGATTCCTCTGGAAGCATTTACATTTACAATGGATTCATAGATGGACTTCAGTTTTCACAAGTGGGTTTCAGCATATGTTATTTACACCTTGAGCTTTTTAATAAATCTTTGTTAGAGTGTTTACATGTTTTGATAGACTAAAGTTTATTTTTATATTCATTATATTTTATTATTTTATGTATTATATTTATTGTAATATATAACATTTATTATATATAATATTTATTTATTTATTTGAGAATTGGACATTATCTGAATTATTAGAACAATGTTTCATATTAATTATTTAAATACATTTTATTTAAATCAAATTAATGAAATGAAATTAAAAAAATAAAATAATAAAAACAATTAAATCCCAATATAGCAGAAATTCTTTCAAAAATAAGTGCAAAAATCAATGCAAAAAAAAGAAGACATGCAGACATGGTTTTATGTTTACGCGGCGCGGCGCGCGATACGCAACATGTAAAAACACAGTATAAGTCATTATAATCAGTAATTATGTCCCCACTGGATGCAACAAATGCCTCGTTTGCAATGGGTTTTATTGGTTTTGTCTTGACGTGCCGGGAGATGGCGTCACAGTGTGATGGTGTCACAGGTATTCGGCCAATCACAACGCACTGGATAGCTGGCCAATCAGAGCACACCTCGCTTTTCAGAACAATGAGCTTTGTAAAAATCGACGCGTTTCAGAAAGGCGGGGCATAGAGGAAAAACAATAATGTACAGTATGTGGAAAATAATGTGTTTTTTCAACCTTAAACCGCATTAACGCTTAAAACACATTTCATTACACCAAATACACAAAATAATGTTCTTTTTAACAACATCATATGACCCCTTTAATGTCT